TTAACACAAATGTGCTAGGTACTGAAAACTATGTAATTATGATAAGGGTCGTCCATAAAGTACGTACCCTTTTTTTTCGCCAATCCCCCCCTCCCCCGCACTCACGCTTTTTTGAGTACTCTCTACCTCCCTAAAAGTACCTACGCTTATGTATAATAAAATTATCTCTGAATCTAAACTAAACGTGTTATAAGAAAAGGCGTAAAAAGTAGCTTGTATTAACTCTAGGGATGGAACAATACATTGTTAAAAATTTAAATGTCTGTGCAGAATGGGAATACCTCATAAAAAGTTTAAAAATTTACTTAACATTGTAATAAACTATTTGCATTGGCTATTTGAAATGCCACAAAGATCATTTTAAGATGTTGCCATAATCTAAAAGGATTTCGTGCTAAACTTACAGTTGATATAATCGGAGAATATTTTAATAATCTGAAAATATCATTAAAAACGTAAGGCCAAAAATAAAATTTAATTACGATAAAAAAAAAACTGTCTGATGAATAAGAAAGTTTTTGTAAAAAGAGGATACAAATATCAAGAACGTCTCATAGTTTAAAACCCTCAACATCTATAATGCGTTTAAAAACTGTTGATGAAACTCTACTTCTAATTTATATTACATATATAAGAATCAACCTTTATAGATAATTTGAGGAAGAATGGATCTTCAGGAGTACGTTAAAAAAGAACGTTTTCTTGGTGGTTTGACACTAACTAATTTTGGCCTAGTGTTGGATTTACCAATGTCAAGGCTTGGCGTAAAATTTAGCATGAAGCCCTTTGCTTTTCAGGATAACTGATTATGTATTATCTAGTGGTTTGATTATAGAAGTAGTGTCAGTTTGTCCGAAATAAAACTTATTTAAAAAGACTTAACAACTTAACAAGAATTTTAAATTTGCTTTCTTTGATTTTTGGTTAGCAAAGTTGTTGATGAAACCATCATGATGATGAAACCATCATATTTCTCTTACGTCACTTTCAATAATCTTAACAATCAAGTTTGCTCTTCATCAAGATAAACCTTCACATGTTTTGCTTCTTCATCAAAAAAACATTCACATGTTTTGCTTCTTCATCAAAAAAACATTCACATGTTTTGCTTCTTCATCAAGAAAACATTCACATGTTTTGATTCTTCATTAAAAAATTATTCACATGTTTTGCTTCTTCATTAAGAAAAACCTTCACATGTTTTGCTTCTTCATCAAAAAAACATTCACATGTTTTGCTTCTATATCAAGAAAAACCCTTAAATGTTTTTTAAATTTCACTGTTATTTTTAAAGGTGGATAAATTTTTGTAATTTTGGTAAGAACAACTTGGATTCATGTTTGCCTAAGGCTGAATTGACAATCCCAGAATCAAGTTTTGCCAACATAGAAAAGAAGCCAAAAAAAGATGAAACATGATCACATGCATACATTCTCCAGTTAAGCTTAGTGAATGAAGCTCTCAAAATAAAATTCCTCGGAAGATAATATTTGGGCAGTAAACCCATGTCCACAGTCTAAAAAATGAAATTTTGAACAAAAATGGTTTATCAATTATTTCTGTGTGCCAGTTTTCTGCTTCCTTTCGTTTATATTCTTCAAAACATTTATGCTTTGACATGACAACCTTCTTTGAAGATTTACTTCTTCGGTCTTTTTCTTGTTACTATCTTCTTCGGTGATTTATTTTTAATAATTGTTTACTTATTTAACTTTTTATTTTTCCCATTGAAATAAAAAAACGTTTGCTATTTACAAAGTCATATTCATCAATAAGAAAATGTTTATATTGAACAAAAAGTTTCTATTAACTAGTTTTCTTTCATAATTAACAATTACCAGTTTTCTTTAATAAATATCAATCAATTTTTTAAAATAAATTGTTTTTTTTTTTGTTTTTTTCTTGTTTTTTTTATGAATTTAGGTTTAATAAAATTTTTGACATTATTAATTATTAATGATTGTTCAAATATTTGGCATTACACGAGGTTAGAACTATTTTGATCTATCTCCACTTTTTGAAAAAATCAAGATAACGATTATGTCATGTACTTCAAAGTAATGTTTTTCTACTACATTAAAACATAATTTAAAATATCATTATTTCCGCGGAGCGGAAATAATGATATTTCATAGAAATATTAATGTTTCCCAAAGCTATCCATAAACAAATTGAAATTGAGAAAAGTCAAAATAAAAACTTATAAAAGTTTAAAACTAAAAATAACTCGTATAGATCAACTCATATAAATTACTAAGACCAGCAAAAAACTGTTAGCTCCATATTTGTTTTTCTTCTAATGTCGTATTCTGATCGTATTATTATACAGGGTATAGTTTTTATTAGACCAACATAAGTTCTAAAACAACTTTGAAGTAAACTTTGAAGCTACAAGATTTAATATCAAAAACATCAAATGCTGGAGTTCTTTTAAATTATTTAAGCTGTTTCTGACAAGCCGCAAAGTTTTTGAATTTATTTATAAAAGTCTATAAGAAAGTTAATAAACCTTACTTAAAATATATTTTAAATATTGTATGTATTATTTATTATGTTTATCACAGCAAGCACGCATACGTTGGTAAAATGTAAAGTGAAAGAACAATGTTGTGTTGGCACAATATTGCACGTTAACGTTATTTTTATATCATTTTGGTTGCAAATGCGATGGCGCCAACAAAAAAAACCTACACAACCTTACGTTGTATTTTAAGTTGGTAAAGTATAATACTTACCGTTGATTCAACTTTGCATTTTTATTTGACACTGCATTGAATTTTTAGCCTGGCTAAATTGTGCTTTTAAAGTTTTTGGTTTTAAATTTAACAAATCACAAGCACAACAACACATAAACCATTTTATAAGTTTGTTTTGCTTGAGGTTTAATAAATTACAGAAGATTTTATTAAATCTTCACTTATTGGGTTATAATGTTCACTTATTGGAAATATAGGGTTATATATATTGGATCAACGTTGGGTTTAAATCGTAAATGCGATCAATTTTTATGTTATTTTTACGTTTGACAACTGCGCAAGCTGTTTTTAATTTTTGCTAAATACGTGACTTTGGATCAGCAAAGGGCTTAATAAAAAAAAAGCCAAATTTTGCGATGGTTTTACATACATTGGCTCAATGCTAAGTAGGGTAGAGTCTAATGCCTTGGAGCAAACAATACGCTGCAACAACAAGTATCAACAGCAAGCTGCAACAACAATAATCGGTGAAATGCTCGTTAAACTATTTTTTTACTAGTATATCATAAATAAATTTTATAAGTTGTTAGTTGTTTTATATTCTATTGTTCAAAACATTGTTTCCAAATACGCTACCTAAGCTTATTTTTAGTGTTCATTTTCGCAACAGCAGTAGTCACAACAATGTCCGCAAGGACAGTGCTCTTCATGGCAGTGTTCTTCATGACAACCATGACAATCATGATGACAGTCACAATGATGATGTTCATGGTGATCATGACCGTCATCATGATCGCAATGATGATGATGATCATGACCACATTCATCGTTGTGATCTTCGTGATCTTCGCAACAGTGGTGTCCACAATGCTCATGTTCATGATGACAATGACAATGATGATGACATCTTGTGTGCAACTTGTTACTTTCTTTTGAAGTTTTTTTGTTAGTAGCAACAGTTTTCAATTTAGTAGATTTAGATTTAACCTCTTTACTAGTTGTTACATTAACTGATAATGCTGCTGGTGCTAATGCAACTAAGCCATTAACCTCCTTGTGAGATTTTGTTTCTAACTTTAAATCACTTTTGTTATCTTCTTCGGCAGATCCTTCTTCAGAAACCGGCATGCATATGGAAGAACCAACAAAACCCAAAATCAGAATAATGTGTTTAATATTCATTTGAGTATTTTTTTTTCTTTAATTGTTTTTACTACGATTAATCTTCTACGGTTATTTTTAATAACGTAGATTGTAGTTTTTTTTTTTTTTTTTTGTAGTTACTGATATTATGTTAATAACTTTTACTTGTTTCAGACGTTAATAGTTTTAATAAACGCTTAATAACTAACTTCTCATAAATATTAAAAAAAAAACTCATTGAGTATTTATTTACTTGAAAAATTTACAAGGCTCAATGGCTTTATTTACTAAAGTCATAGAAAGTTGATAGAAAGTAGCTCAAACAGCTAAACAACCAATTACGTTTATGTTTAGTTTATGATATGTTTATGTTTCTAGCGTTTTTAAAATATTAATTTTCATTGTTCACTAATATAACTTTTTTTCCTCCAGAATATTAAGATCCTCTAAGAAACCCTAACTTTTGTTAGGGTTTCTTCGCGGAAGAGCAACAAGGAAGTTTACTTTTTTTAAACCGTATCACTTATATGGACGACTCAGGCCTATCAATTACCGTATCACTTATATGTCAAAAAGATATGCATTATAATGATTTTGTCACAAATATAAAAAAAATTGTTGCAGAAACTAAAGCTGATTTGTCAACACATAAATTTTATCCTGAAGAAGTTATTTCAGAAATAAAAGATTTTGAAATAAAAATAACAGAAAACTTTTTTGATGAAATAAGAAAAATGTCAAAAAAATTAAAATCATCTGGAAATGCTGAAAAATATTATTCCAACTTTTATAGCAATATTGTTCTTTTTTCAGACACACATTTTAATCTAAAGAAACCTGCATCAACAGTATTTACAACAAAGTTATACAATAAATTATTTCACTATTTTTAAAGCTCTCCTTCAAAGAATGTTGAAGTTGAAGAAATTTCACCACGTGAAGTGGATGGATTAAAATATTTGTGTCTGGAAATCTACTTAAAAAAACAACAAAAAATTACAAAAGCCAGTACAATCAAGCTATAATTGCATTATTACTTTAAGCAACTAAAGAAGTTTCAAGTTCAGAAAAGTTAATAAATACCCAAAACAGAGGGGGTTTAACAGCAGTATATGAAGAATGCTATCAGATTTTCTTGCTAGCTGAGAAACATTTTAGACAAGAAACTGCAGTTGCTAGCCTCCAAAATATTGAAAGTAAGAATTTAACAAAACACCTATTAAGGGATCCTAATATTATAAGTTTTTACAATGCAATCGTGGATGATGTGAAATTTGTGTCTATTGATAAGGAAATTAAGCTTAACTTGTTAGAAAAAATGGTAGAACTTTACTTTAGAGTTCGTACATTTTCATTGGCTAAAAATATAACTGCAAGTAACAATGATCAAAGTTTTAAAGTAAAATCTTTAAGAAAAAGTATAAAACGTAAATCAAACAATAAATAAAGACTTAAACTTTAAACTTAATACAAATAATTGATATATTTTGTAATATGCTATGTTTATATTTAGATTATATTTATAGTTTTTTTTTTCGTTTTGAAAACTTTTCATTATCAACAACACTCCTAGATACCTCACATTATTGACCATGACCACCTTTAGTATTTCCAGTAACCGGCGCAATTGATCTTTGCAATTGCAAGGTATTTGACTGGTAACCAAATTGATATAGTGTAGGGTTGTCATTTCTTCGACCTAAACTCCGTTGTCTACCAAAGTATTCCTCCAAAACGTCTTGATTGAATTTTTCAGTCAAAACAAACGGTATACCACTTTTTAATAAAAATTTTACCAATTCGATAACAGACATTACAGTTATTTGAAGTCCTTCTAACATTTCACAAAATTTTGCAGTTCCATTTGAAATTTATTTGTTTATTGTACTTAAACTTATCAGAGTTGCCCAAAATTAATGCTTTTGGAATTAAATAACACAGAGTGTAAAAGCAAATTTAAACAACTAAATATATAAAAGTATCCTTACTTGTCAATTCAATATCTTCTGATAAAAAATGATTCTCACATATATAAATATTGCCCTTTGAGAGTCTTTCTTTCAAATCTTTGTCAAAGTCTCTATACTGAGTGATAACAGCTAACAATCTCTGTCTCCATTTTTAATAGAAGTCTCCTGTCCTCATAGAAATTCTGAATAAGGTGATATCTTTGTGCTTAATAGAACTTGAAACTGTACATCCTGGTTGACAACAATTTGAACCTGGCATTTCGGATTTATCTTTTAGACTTTTTTTAAATATAGAATATAAAGAAACATTTTAAATTGAATAAAGTTTTTAAACCATAGACAATAGAAAGGAACCAATATTATTTTAATAATAAAGAAAAACAATAATTTTAATATATTAATTTAAAATAAACATCAAAATCTTTATTAATTCGTAACTTTCATTATAAAAGTTTTGTTTGTTTTGCACTAGATTTGATCACGTGACTTAAAAAAAAGCGAACAATAACATACGACAATAGCTTTTCCAGACCAGGATTTCTATTGACTATGTTCTAATATATCATTGGTTTGTGAAAACTAAATTTTGGACTCCATTTTTTACACTTTTACGTAAGCAAGAAAGAAGCCCACTCAACTGCTGACGTCAGTTAATTTTAAACTTTCTAATCATTTTTAAGAGTAACCATAATCAAACGAAAATTTCTATTAATAAATTTTTAATTGTATTAAGGGAATTCGTATTATTTGATGTTTTCTTACTAATATAACATATACTATTATTATTATTATTGTTATTATTGCTATTGTTACTATTATTATTGTTATTAATTAATTGTTAATTAATAACAATAAATATAATTGATTAACAATTATATGCTTTGCACTACAAAGCATATAATTGATTAACAATTATATGCTTTGTAGTGCAAAGCATATAATTGTTAATCAATTATATGCTTTGCACTACAAAGACTACATGCAGGACCATCACATGTGAAAGAAGTTGCTCGTCTACAATCTTGATGGCAGTTGACTTCGTTAAAGTTTTTATAAACTTTAAAAAATTTAATTAGATCACCTCTTAATCTACGTTCAGCTAATGACCTGAGACCAAGAGTTGCCAGACGTGATTTGTAGTTCATGTTGCGCAATTGCGGAACAAGTTTAGTTGCCATACGTTGAAATGGTTCTAATTTTTTAATGTCCTTTTGGAAGAAAGGACTCCAAACTGGTGTACAGTACTCTAATGTCGGCCGCACATACGCTGTATAAAGCTTGATGAACATACATAGATTCCATTTTTAAAAAGTTTTTTTGAGTATCCCAAGTACAGAGTATGCTTTAAAAGTAGCTTAACTAATCTGTTCTGATCATTTGAGTTTATTATTAACTAGGATACGCAATGTTCTTCCGGCAGATACAACTTCAAGAGGAATGTGACTAACATTTGCGTCTAACATTGTCAAATTCTAAGGAACCACCGTGAAAATTTTGAACTTTGTATTTATTTATGCTGAATTCCATGCACCAAAGTCTCGACCAATCACCTAAAATATCAATGTCCTCCTGAACATATGCCAAATCCATAACTGACTTTATTTTTGCAACCAATTACCTATCATTGGCAAAAGGTTTGCAAGTATTTTTAATTAGTTCTGGCATATTATTTATGAATAGCAAAAATAATATAGGTCCTATGACCGAGCCTTGAGGAGCACCACTTAGGACATCCATCCATTCAGAGAAGAAAATGCCATTGTTTTCTACAGTCAAGAAAGTTCTTGAACCAGTCAAGAAAGTTCTTGCAAAAAATTGAAAATTTTATTGCAAAAACCATAGCCAGCCAACTTGAGATGAAGCAAAACATGCGACACACGATCAAAAGCTTTAGCAAAGTCTAACAAAATGAGTAATGCTGCACAATTATTACTTAAAGCTTAAAGGATATATAAGTAATTATATCCAGCACTTCAAGAAGATCTATATCTGACAAAACCATGTTGATGACAAGATAGCAAACCATATTGATGACAAGATAGCAAACCATGTTGATGACAAGATAGCAAATTATGTTTTACTAGGTATTCAGTCATGACGTCACGCATTCCATTATTTTTCCAACTGCAGATGTTATGGCCTAATATTAATTATAAATAGACCTGTAATTTCTAGGATCAGTACGATGACCTTTTTTAAAAATGAACGTTATTAGCGAGTTTCCACCCAGAGGACACATGGCGAGAATCAAAGGACTTAATGAATATTAGAGAAAGAGGCACACTTAACTCTTTAGAACAAGTTTTCGAGGAATTCCTTCATTACCCGCGGCTTTTGAAATGTCAAGTGCAGATAAATGTTTTTCGATATTACAACATTTAAACAAAGAGCTTAAAACTGGAGAACAAACAGCTTCGGTTCTCCGAGGAAAAATAGGGGACGAGAGTGAGTTACAGGTGATGAAAATGCTTTAAAAAACTGATAATTTAGACAGTCTGCTATAGCCTTTTTATCAAATAATTGAGCTCCATTGTGATCAAAGAGAGATTGAATGTCACTTTTACAAGACTTTTGACTGTTTACATTAGAGTAGAGCTTTTTTGGGCAAGATTTGCAAGCAAAGACGATTTCATTCTCAAAATTTAATACCGCATCAGCCACAAGTTTTTTGACCAGGCGATTTTGTTTATTGTACAAGAATCGAATACTGTCTTTAAATTTACAGCACAAAGTAACTTTTAAATTTTTAAATTTTCAAAAAAAGTCTAAATTTTTCTATTGTCGCAGCTTAAATAGAAGAATTAAACCATTTTGGATCACTCTTCTTCAAACTAAACATCTCATTGAACTTAACAATCAAAAAACTGTGTGCGTCTTTAAATAATTCGAGGTTTTCGTCAGCTGATTTATTTGAGAATAAGTTTGACCAGTCAATTTGTTTAGGCGCTCATTGATTGCATCATAGTCACCTTAGTTATAGACATAATTTATATAGATTTATAAATTATAGAGGACTGCAAGCATTTTTGTTTGGAGTTTCATTCTCTTCGTTCAATCCATCGAATTGAGCCAGATTGTTTAGACCAGAAACCTTTTTTTCCATATCTAATGCCAATTAAGTAGCCTACTTTGCAGACCTTTAAATGAATTTGGAAGAGTATTATTTCTCATTCTGCATTCAGCATAAAGTTTAGACAAAACTATCCTTTCGTTCTCGATTTGGTCTGGTCTGACACTTTTGTGAAACAAGAACTATTTCTTAACTCTCTTGCGTCATCCAAAGCTAATTGACGTTTTCCATAATCCTTAAATTCATTTAACACCAACGCGGGAAGCAAAGATAGATCATTTAATTAATTGAGGATCCCATTGGGAATAGAAGGAGTTGAAAGTGACGTATTTTTCTTTTTTAGCCTTTTTTTTAACTATTACATCATCACGAGACACTTTTAAGATGGTCAGAACTTCGTCAACCACTTTATTATCCATTCTCCAAATAAAATAACTCATTAAACCACTTATGATTAAATTACTTAAAACTCTGTTGTACTCGTTGTTTTTTTTAGCAAATAAAGCAGCATTATTCTCTTTGATAGAAATATTCTTCTCTTTGTTAATAAAACCTAACCAAACATCAGCACTGCAAGTATTATTTTGATAATTGATGCTTGCATTCACATTTTTTTAAAGACAATCAAGTTCTTTTTTTTTGAATTTTATTTTCTGGTTCTAAAAACCCAACTCTTGTAGTAAGAGGGGAAACCAATGATGATAATTCTCCACACCAGACATGGAACCAATGATGATAATTCTCCACACCAGACATGGAACCAATGATGATAATTCTCCACACCAGACATGGAACCAATGATGATAATTCTCCACACCAGACTTGCAATGCTCTGCTCAGATCACTGTGATTTCCTTGACCAATTTTAGTCCAATTTTTTTCTTGAAGAAAATCCGTCTTGAAGCAAATATTTCTGCCAAGAGGGCTACCACTCTTAATACTAGTGGATTGCATCAGGTTGTAAACTTTTTAATTTTTATCATTAGTTACCTTTACAATTTTTATCAGTTACCTTCACAATGTGGCTGCGATATAAAGTTTGCAATTAATATCCTATATATATGTATGTATGTATATATATATATATATATATATATATATATATATATATATATATATATATATATATATATATATATTTATATTTATATATATATATATATATATATATATATATATATATATATATATATATATATATATATATATATATATATATATATATATATATATATATATATGTTTAAAATCTTCGATAAACTTGTGTAATTAATCATTCATTTGTTTTAAAGACCGACATTTTGAAGAAATCGATGTTGAAGCTCATTTTTCTACAACTTTGAAATCTATGTCTTTATCCGAAAAAATTAAATCTATGTTTATATTTTAATTTTACTACAGTTTTAAAACACTAAATACTTGAATGTAAAATAATATTTAGAAATGCCATAGCAATGATGAAAAAATAAAAAAAAACTTTTGCTAACAATGACGTATTCCTTCTTTCCTTATCCTTGGAATAAGTCGCACACAAAATTTACTTCAAAAATAACGTTTATTCGCAAAAAAAAATTTCATGAAAAAAACTTCGAATTGTTTGTATCATTTTTTTTTTATTCAATCACATCAAGAAAAATTAACAAATACTCATCCTAAATTAATAGAATTTGGTTACGTGTCACTCATATAGTTACAATCTAGTCAATGGAGTGACACCTAAAAAAATAAAGTTCTTGAAAAAAATAATTAAATAAAGAAATAAATATATATATATATATATATATATATATATATATATATATATATATATATATATATATATGTATATATATATATATATATATATATATATATATATATATATATATATATATATATATATATATATATATATATATATATATATATATATATATAAGAGAGAGGCGAATGAAAAGAATGTTAAACAAATAATAATGATATATGTTATAGTTAAAGTAATAATACAAAATGATAGCAATAATAATTAAGCATCAATAATATTAAGAATAATTATAATACATTGTAAATTGTATATACAAATCATAGATAATAATTAAATATAATAAAAACATAAAATGTAGCAATAACAACACAAAGGTAAATAAATATAATATAGATAAATAATAAATAAAACAAAAATCAAACCACTGGTTCATTAAAGAAATTATATATCAATGACAACTAGAGAGAGAATTACATTCCAACAATATTTTTTTAAATTAAATTCTGTTGAGCAGTAAATAATTCGTAACAAGGGGATATTTTTTTAGACTTTTTTAATTATGCAGGAATATATTGTTGTTTTATGGAAAACTTACCATATTTAATTGTGTTGAAAAAAGAAAAGTTTAAAAAATAAGTTTTATATAACTGTTTTTAATGATGTGCATTTTGTTTTATTAAATAGGTCTAAAAAAGTTATAGAGGATTGTTTGCTTCTATTGATTATCTTTTTTAGGAATCTTTTAAAACTTCATAAATCTCATATTAATATAAAATGAAACAGGTAAATTGTTAAACTAAGTATAAGCAAGAATAAAAAGAGATATCATGTCCCGAGTGTATGAATATGAAAAAGTGTTGAACCAAAAACGAAGAAAGAAAACTTACCTTCGAAAAAAGAGGTTAGGAAAGTAAGTTCAGATTTAGTTAGTACCCGTTTTTTAAATATTAAAATTAAATACTAGACCTTACGATACCACTAAATTATGCAAACTAATTTAATGCGATTGTAGTACTGTTGTACGTATTTCGCCACGCAGCAGCATGTACTAATTCTTTTTTTTTTCTTTTTTTTAAATTTTTCTTAACCAATACAAAAACAAAAAGTTAAAGTAGGACAGATGCTTTTTATTTTATTAAGTCTTTAGAAAAACGTTTTTTATTATATAGTGTTACGTTTTTTAATTTTTGTTGTATTATATTTACGGTATAGATTAAAGGGCTTTGTGAAGATTATGACCAATTATGTTTTCTTCTTGCCCCTGCTATTTGTATTTATATTATGATTTACGAATTTAATAAATTTATTTGGCAAAAAAAAAAAAAAAAAAAAAAAAAGTTATAGTGAGTACCAAAAAAATCCATTTTTGCTGTAAATTCTTGCAGTTGTGACTAGCATGTTAAAAATTAAGAAAATACCTGCCTGGAAACCCGACAAAAAAAAAAAAAATATTTTTTATAAAAGTTGAAAAACTGAAAAAGATTGAAAAAGTTTTAATTTACGTAAAGTAAAACATTGCGTATAAGAATAAAATTAAACTCTTAAATAATGATGTCATTTATTTAGAGTTGTTCTTTTTGATTATATCTAAATTTTACTTTACTTTAAGTGTCCAGGTTACATAAGTCCACGTTAAAGTTTTGAAATACTATCATCTTCGTTGTTTTGAGTGTCAAAAATGCACGCCGTTGATTGACCTCATGCCCAGCAATCGAGAAAATACAACCTGATGGTACTGAGGTTGCAGGTATGCACATGTACTTGTGCACTAATATAGCATAATTATATCTTTTATCTTTTAGGTTTTGAATGAATTTTATCTGAAAGACAAATTAATAAACAAATTGAAAAAGTTTTAAATTACGTACAGTAAAATATTGTACATAAGAATAAGATTAAGTTCTTAAATAATAAAATGGTACATCATACAGGAATAATAAGTGGGTATCTGAATCAGAAACTCAAATAACTTTTAAAATGTTGCAGCCGTGGTGTAGTGGTTAGTGTTCTGGTTTCGGAACTGAAGTTTAGCGGTTCAAAGCCAGCCTTATATGCAACTTCCTGGTTGATTGGTATTTCACAGTGCTATGAACCCGCTGAAGCCGCAATTGGGATAATAAATAATAAATTAAATAATAAACAACTTACAGTTTAATCAAAAGAGCTCATGGATCTACATTTAAACACCTTAAGAAAGGTAAAACATAATTTTAGTTACCTAAAAAAACATACATGTTAAAAGTTACCAATTTATTAAAAATATATTTTTATACATTTATTCATTTTGTAACTATTTTGTTTTAAAATTTAGTGAATTTTTGTACAGTTTTTGCAAATGATTCCATTCTATTTTTTAGATGTTTGAGCAAAGCAATTTTGAAACATGAAAATAAAAATCTAGGTTTGGATATCTTAATATATATATGAGGAATGAGGAAGTTACATAAAAAATTGCAGTGATGACTGCGAAGAGCAAAAACCTTAAAATGATAAAAATGTCATTTATTTATGAACCCCGGTTGAGAGGAAACTTATCGAACATTGCATTTAGTACTTGAGTGAAAAAAAATATAATATACAAGAACTTATAGAAAAGCATTTCCTCCAGGATTTTAAAACAATCTAAGATACCAGCGGCAAAGACTTACTTCCGATTATAACTTGCCGTAGCAATGCTCTCTGAGAATCAAAATGGAATAAAAGTAACAGGGCCGGTTCATGCTGGCTCGGGACCCTAGGGCAAAATTAAGTTGTGAAGCTCCAAAATCTAAATGTCATCTATACAATTAAATTGTAAATATGATTCTAATATATAGATTTGATATATAGCAATAATTAAAGGTAGTTTAAACCGTTGGGGTCTGGAAATAAATTGTCCCATTGTCGGAGCGTTCCTTCTTTCATATTATTTTGCGCTATTAATGTTAAAAAATAGAATATAAGTTACTTTATTATTTTTATTACAATTTATTTCCAAAAAATTCCCATATTTTATTCCCATATTTTGACTAAATCAACTTTTAGCCGACTTCAAAATTGTATTAGTCGATTTTAGAAAATATATTAGTCGATTTAGTCGATAATCGAACTATTTAATAGTCGTACCAACACTAGAAAATATCACTCGGGAATCACAGTAAATACCACTCAAACAACTACTTTAGTTTTACATACCTTTTGGACAAATAAATCTCATAGCAACTAAACTTTTTTAGTTTCATTCATAAAACATCCAAATAAAAACACAAGCAAAGAATATTATGATTTTAATGCACAAATGTTGTTCCAAAAATGACGCTAAAATTCACGAGAAAAATATCTAATATTGAGATCTATTATTTCAATTGCATTTCACGTTGTACTTGATAATTTATTCAATATTTATTAGTAGTAGAAAAATTGCTGCAACAGTTTTACCTGTATAACCTACAGGTTTTGGCAGCCTTATCTACTTCATACTCTAATTTTATTCATATCAATATATAAAAATTTAAAATAAGACATATAGTATGAAGTATATGTTTGTACTTTATTGTTTTTCCTTGAAGGGAATGCATTCCAATGATTCACTATTCGATTAGTAAAAAACTGGTGCCTTTGCTCGCAATTTTGAACAAGTTCTCTAGTCATTTTTAGATGATGTCCTTTAGTTTTTATTTTATTTGGCTCCCCAACACGAAGGACATGGGGTTTACTCCATATGACAATGTGTATATTGTTAATAATTTTATAGGCCTGTATCAGATCTCCCCTAATGCGACGGGTTTCTAAAGACGTTAAGTTTAGTATACTCAGACAATCTTTGTATGACATATGACGGTACGAAGGTATTAAACGGGTAGCTCTTCTTTGTACTTTCTCGATTTTGTCAATATCTATTCTTGATGATGGATTGCTGGCTGCTACCGCAAATTCCAGATTAGGTCGTACAAAGGCTGTATATAGAATTTTAAGTAGTTGTGGAGTCATGTGACTGAAAGTACGATAAAACACGGTTGCCTAATACACGGTTAGCTCTATTGGTTGCAAAAGTTGAATTGTTATGCAATTTTAAGTCTGGCGTAATCATAATGCCTAAATCACGTTCGACTAAAGTCGATGCTAGTTTGACACTGTTATTATTATTAGCTGGCATTGAGTAGACATAAAAATTGTTTTTTTTTTACCTATGTACATGATTTTAAATTTATCGAAATCAGTTTCATTTTCCAGGTTTTATACCATTCGACTATGTTGTAGATATCAGTTTGAAATTTTTGTGAAGCTAATGGGTGGTCTAAACGTGCCTGCAGTTTTGTGTCATCAGCATACATTTTACATGAGTGGTTAACAATATTGGAAATATTGTTCACAAAAATGATAAAAAGTATTGGATCTAAGACGGATCCTTGAGGGACGCCACTAAATACCTCAAGCCACAAGGAAACATAATCGCCCATCACGATTCGTTGAAAACGCTGGTGTAAAAACAAATTTATCCAATTCAGGAGATTTCCAGTAAAACCATATACCTCAAGTTTGTAAATTAGTCTTTTGTGGGGAACCATATCGAATGCTTTACTTAAATCTATAAAAGCTACGTCCATAGATAATGCTTTTGACATCATGTCAATTGACCCCAACAAATTAGTCACACAAGCTTTTTTATTGACAAAACCATGTTGATTTTTTGAAATAAGACTATGTTCGACTATATGATTGACCATAGTGTCACGTAATATTTTTTTCATCACTTTACATACAATTGATGTTTAAAATATAGGCCGGTAATTGCCTGGGTCGAGTCTACTTTCTTTTTTAAACAATGGTGTTACATTAGCATTTTTTTTATACTTTAGGACAACAGTCACTATCTAGCGACTTTTGAAAAACTGCGCTTAAAGGTATTGAGAAGCTGTCAGAACAGTTCTTCAGTACATATGCGCTTACACCATCCAAACGGTTTTATCAACTGATAGATTGCTTAGCATGTTTTTAACTAGATCTTGTGTTATTTGCGAGTATTTGCAGATGGCTTCAGTTCATTTTATAAAATATGGCAGTTCATTGTCTTCATTTTTGTTGAAAACACTTTGAAAGAGATTGTTCAGCCGGTTTGCAATTTCTATTGGATTTGTGATAGTTTCACCATTGATTCCTTTTAAGGTTGTTATTGTAGTTCTAACATTTTCTTTACTATTGACATCCTTGAACAGGATCTTTGGATTGTGCTTCGATTACCGCTAAATCAAGTTCAAACTCACAACGAGCTTTACATATGAGCTTCTTCAATTGAATATTACACGCTTTGTTTTTGTTGACCAGTTTAAGATTTTTATATTCATTTGCTCTACATCGAAACCATAGTTTATTTTTAGCTTTTATTTTATTCTTGATGTCATCATTCATCCATTCGCTTCTGCGACGAATCCATTTTGAGTCACTGGGACATAAGTTTTGCATTCAGCCTCGAAGTGGTTCAGGAAAATTTTATAACAGTCATCAGTATTGCGTCCATTGAATTATATCTGCCAGTTGATATTGTTAAAATATGTAGATATCTTTACAAAGTTACTTTTATGATGAATACGTTTTTCAATGTGTTTTCCTACAACTGCAGCGCTTTTAACAACGTAATCTCATTGAAGGACGTGGTGAGATTTCTTCAGAGACTTCAAAAACGTTCATTTGCTTTAATAATTGACACTTCAATATTCTCGAGGGGATCTAGCATGTGTGGTCTGTATATGCAACCCAGAAGGATGTGTTCGGAACCGTGCGATATTTCGCACCAAATTTGTTCAGGGTAATCTAATAAAACAATTTCGCTTACTTCATTAGGTTTTAATGAAATGTCAACATAAATAGCCACCCCGCCTCCTCTAGTGAACACGCAATCTTTTCTGAATAACATATAGTTTTCAATGTTAGTTATCGATGATTCATGCCACTAAGTTTCTGTAACGAAGATTATTTTAGGCTTGTATGTCTCAATTGATACTAGAAACACTGTCTTTTTATTGTTAAGGGATGTAGCATTGGTATAACAGCATGGTATTTTATGGAAAGCTGACTGTTGTAGAAGACTAATAGTTGAAAGTGACTTATGCTCTAAAGGAATTTCATTTAGGTTTAAATAATTATTATATGGTTTTAAATTACTGTTGATTGCTATTTAATAAGATAAAACAAAGCAAAGTACTAACTAATTTTTAATTTATTTATGTGATATTTTAATATGAATAGCTCAGACCATCGTCAGACGATTTTACGTCCAAAAACGGCCTCAGCTAACTAGACTGATATATCTCATAAATAAATCAAAAATTGGTATTTTTGTGTGTTTTATGCTAATTGTGTTTAAAGCTAATATATATTAAATATTGAGTTCGAAGTTTTCTTTTAAGTTTTTTATCGTAAAAACGTATTTTTTATCTGAAAAAGTAAACCTTTTTTTTATCCCAAAAACAGATTTTTTTTAGCACGTTAGCAGCAACTGATTATACTTTTACGCTTTTTACGCAAAAACAATTTTTTTTAATGCATTGGGTGATTCAAAAAAATGAAAAAAGTATTAATAGATAATTATTTCTAGACTTCTTTAAAGTGTTTAAAATTCAAGATAACGTGATGAAAATCCACGGAAATATAAGCTATTGCTAAGCTTTAATTTTAAATAAATATTTCATGTATTGAGCTTTAATTCTAAATAAAATTTTCATGTCACAAACCTTCCGCTTTTTTATTGTTTGCGCATACTCGAAAGACTTTTCCTAGCGGAATTAATAATTAAAAAAAAAACTGAATAAAGATACGGCTTATGTCTTTGTATTTTTGAAAGTTTGTATTTTTCATTTATAATTTGTCAAATTAAAAGTTTATATTTTTCATTTATAGT